GAGAGCCTCTTGGGCTAAAGTTTTGTCCTGTTTACTTACAAAAGGGAGTTTTTCTTACCAAACTGGCCAAAACAGAAACATTTTTACTTTTTCAGAAGTACACTTCTGTCTGAGAAGTATGCCGTTGGTTCAAAATTTTCTTCTAAGCAGAAGAGTGGGCTTATTTTATGGTGGGACATCATTAATAAAACGTGTACACTTCCATGCAAAAAAGCACAAAAAAACACCAAAAAAACATTTATTTGGTGTTTGAACACGTTCGGAGTCAGAGTATGCCTGGAAGTATATTTAACTTCTTTTATGGCTAGTCTTATGTATCTTTTCATAGGTGTGTTATTTGATTCATAAGCTAACATCAATAATTTAGAAGGGATTTGGCATAACTTGCAAGTATTCTACAAACTGCGGCACACACAACCAAAGATGTTCAGCGTATGGAAAGAATACTTCGTTCGTTGAGTTTTGATTACGAAGGAGACAGAAAACGTACCTGGCAAAAAGATGGTCCAAAGCAAGCCATCACTCCAACGGGCCGAAGGCCCGTTTTCGGATAGAAGATGTATTACACCATGAAAATTCAGAAGGGACGGGCCAAAGGCCCGTCCCAAACGCCGCCGGCAGGCCAAGCTGGGCCCGCTCCCTGCCGAACCGAGTTGCCGGTGGAGCGAAGCGGAGCTGGCAACTTGGTTTGGCGGAAGAGCGGGCCCAGCTTGTTTGATCGTACTAACATCTTTGATGGTTATTTGACATTTTCTGATAGTTCTTTTTAGTACCATCAGAAAATGATGTTTTCCTGATCGCATCGATCACGCAAATAATTGGCCTGACGAAACTATGTGTCGCATGGTAAAACGGCTTTGTGTGGTGTAAGAGGATCACATACTTTATCGTTTGCTTACATAAAAACAAAATCACCTTTATCACCCAGTGATTTCTAGGAGAACGGCTAAAGATAGGTCAATTTTGACACCACCATTGTGCTCAGCGCTGAAAGTTTACACGGGTGATGTAGAATCGTGGCCCTTGGGCGGCCCGCTGCTGACTTCACCTAAAGATTCGACCATCAAGGACATTTACCAGTAGTACACTAACCATCAGAACGCAATTACCATCAGAATTTTACCATCAGAGCCCAACTTTACGATCAAAACAATACCATCAGGCCAAAAACTATCAGGAACGTCCCATTTTATCTCAGGAATTAGACAAATAACTGATCGTACCTTTTTTGATGGTATTTTTCCTCATGGTAAATTTTCTAATGGGATTTACACCAGTGGTTACATATACAGACGTACACGGAGGCGTCCAATCGTCCAATATCAGAGGAAGGACCCTCCTCCAAAATGAAAAAAAAACACTGCGTGTTAGCAAATAGACGATCCGAATAAAACAAAATCTAATACAAAATTATTTTTACTAATTAAATACGTTATTGCTTTCTAGAACAAGAGTAGTTACGACTCTTTGTTCTGAGATTCGCGGCCTTGTGCGTTGTTGTCGTCCGTCTTTGCTGACACTGACCCTCACAAAACCCCCCCGCAGGCGGAACAAAATTGGGGGACTAACACTTCTTATGAGTTCCCTTGCGAGACCATGAATGTTAGTTGTTGGGCGACTGAGTGGCGACGTGGTGATCGCCCTCGCTTTGGACGAGCGCTAGACCAAGCAACCAGAGGTGCTCGTCGTTGGAGTCGAGGCCTTGGCGGCCCCCTGGGCTACCTTCAGGCCAGGCTTGGAGGTGCTTGGAGGAGTGTTGAGTGTATATTGTTTGTGGGGCTGGATGGGGAGTGGCCTAGCGCACAGTAGTGATTGTTAGCCGGCGGGGGGAAGTTGGGACGAAGCATAACGCACCGCTCCCCTGCGCGCCAAACCTGCTGGTATAGACTGGATCGTCTAAAAAGAAGACATTCTTAATCAGAATCGACCCTCGGATTTGCCGTATCTTTCACTGTAACGGACCTAGAGGTGGATATATTTAAAACAATGACAAAAAGTCAAGCTTTGATTACGTATTGAACTTAATTTGCCGGCATTGTCAACAACAACGAGGATGTCTAAGTCACCCTCACACGCAAAAAGTACTAACTATTTCAGAGTTTTCAGTATCTTACTATTGGAAAGTGTACTAAGGAAAAACCTCTCGTTTGATTTTGATATCCGTGCCGAGGTTTAATATTAGTGTATAATAGAACATTTTAACATAAGAGCTGGCAGTATAACCCAAACCAGTTTGCGCATGAAACTTTTCAGAGATAGGCCTGTTTTGACATACTTAAAGGTGTTCAGGGCTTTCGGTGGCTCCAAAATTTCTGAGAAAGCTTGAGAAGGTCTTATTTTGTGAATGCTTTAAGAAATTAAAAAGGAAAATGTTCAGAAACATATGCTCCCAGAATTTCCAAATTTCACCATAGTGTCCCTTTCATTTTTTTTTTAAATTAATTATCAAGCAAAGCAGAAGTGTGGGGTGTAGTCACGGTGCACTGATAAAACAAGTGTTTAATTTTGCACGTTAATTGACGTTTAAGTTCAAGTTCGCATTTTCTCGACACTTTGTGGTGTCTTACTATGTTATACGTCAATTGGTGTTTAAACTTTCGACACTTCCGAAATGTATAGCAGGTGCACACCGTATGGTTCCCTATTGACAGCATAGAACTGTGTGCAGAATTTAAACGTTTACAAAACGTCAAATATTTGCACACCACGCAAGTGTGCAACTTGACTTAAACACCATGTGACGTGCAAAATCGCAACTTGCACACGTGTGGTGTGAAAATATTGCACACTTGTTTTACCAGTGTGTTGCTCCGTTAGTCTTATGTCATGTTCATGGAGCAAATCTCTAGAGCGGCAGCCCCCCCCCCCCGGTCCCCTTCCCCCACATGCAAAGTTACTTACAGGCCGGGCCGCAGGCCCGATCAAACGCTGCCGGAAGCCCAAACCTGGGCCTGGCCCCTGCCAAAGGAGTTGCCTACAAAGCGAAGTGTCAGTAAAAAAAAAAATGTAACGTGGGTACCAACGAAGGCATAGCCAAATTTCCCGTAGCTGAGCGGGTGAGTATAAACGTCTCTGATACAGTGCGACAGGTTTGAGCGGGACGAAGACCCGCTACATTATTTGATTGTGTTCTTCAGTATATTGCGTGCCTGGAATGGTCGGGCCGCAGGCCCGTCCATCGTCACCGGCAGGCCAAGCAGACCCGGCCCCTCCGCTTCGGTTCGCCGGCAACTTCGTTCGGCGGAAGGGCGGGCCGGCGGGCCTGCTTGTTTAGACTATGTACGAATTCCTACAGATTATGTAAGAAATTATATATTACCTGAAAAGGGCGAGATTATGCACTTGATTCTTCGAAGTGAGGGTTTAGAAATTTCTCTCGTATTGGAGTGAAATTTCAAAATACTTCAAGAGGGCAAGAATCATTGCTCTAGGATTTGAGATGATGGCACGCATACCTGTTAAAGGAGATAGGTTCTTTTAAAAATGGTATTTTTCATTAGAGTTGTACTATAGATGAGATACTGGACTCCCGTCCAGCACGGACAATGACATGTGTCGTACAAATATTTTGATGATTTGTTTTATTAAACACCAATGAACAATTACAATTCTTTTAAGAGCTAAACAAAACCTTACATTAGTTTTTATAACATTAACCCTTTTGCAGGTACCTCTTTAAAAAAGACTCTTTACATTATAAGACAAATATTGCTTTGTACAGAAATTTACAAGCTATTAAGAAAACTTAAATATGACTGGGCTGGCTCTTGGTAAGAAGATTCAAAATATTTCTTCTCTTTCTCCCCAAAATAATATAATGTCAATTCATTAACATTTTCTTTTAGCTGAAGCAAACGTTTCTGTTAAACAAAAAAACAACAACATAAGAATTATAAGAAAAACCCTCGCTAATGCAGCATGCACCTGCTGTCTGCTGTTAACTTGTGGTTCTTTCGAGCCATAGCGCGCGTTGCACTAAACCCCCTAGGGTAAGGGTAGGTAGGCAATTGGTCCTACAACACTGCAAGTGAAGGAGCGACTTTCGTCGCTCTCTGGAGAGCGACTTTAGTCCTTTGAGTGAGGTGTCGTGCTCGAAATGAGTGAGACAATTTTGCCCCGCTCAATCAGAGCGATGACAAAAGGCTCACCCTATTTGAGTCACGTGCACTGACTTCTCACTATGGAGGAGTAAGATTTCCCTGACCCCGCCCAATTGGAGTGAGGAACCTCACTCTCATTGGGTCAGGACCGCAAATTATGAATCAAATTGAGTGAGAGTCTGATATCTCGCTCTCAGGAGAATATGTTTTGTGTCACTGATCTCACTCTCCAGAGAGTAAGATATCTGACTCGCATTTTCAGTGATCGCTCTAATTTGGTATCCACAGTTTAATATGGTGCTCAATCTGCGAGTATTTACTTTGCTCAGTTTAAGTATTATAACTGAAACAAGACAAACTTTTCGATTAAGATTGATTTGATTGTATCCTTCATGGCTAAAATATTTGTGGTGTAAAAGAGGTAACTTTGTAAAATATTTGTTGGATTGTACAGCAGAGACCACAAAAAGGGGAGTGGCGACTAGCCCGGCTCAGTGGCCGCTGCTGTCTCCTTCCGTCGGCGACGCTTCCCCCACCGCTTGTCCACTAAGAGTGGCGCGCGCTCGATCCAAGAATTCCTCGATTCCGCGGTGTTCGCGTCGGTCGTAGTTGGCAGGCTAGACTGTGTTCGATCGAGGGCACTGTGGGCTACGATTAAGCGAAAAAAAAATCGACACTTATCGAATCCCCGCCTGTTAAACGCGAAGATCGTGGTACGTGGTACTTACGCCCCTGCACTGGCCCCAGTGACCGCGAGGTCGGATTTTCCTGTGCACACATGAAGTAGAGGTCATAGGGTACCCCTTCGACCCCGAGTTGGCCCCGCTGACTCCAGGGTGTGCGGTGCGCGGGCAGCGGGGCGTCAAAGATGGCGGCTCGCATTCGGCCCGTTCGGCGGTAAAACCTAAAATCGCTGTGCAACACCACTAAGCGTTGTTGAGCGCGCTCGGCCCGGGCTTATTGGTCACTGCTAGGTCTTAACTATCATTGAAAGGCCGGACCTCGATGCAAATTTTTTAGTGAAACGGGCTAACCGAACTGCGACGAAGCCGATTTTTTCGTAGATTGAATTAAAGGGAAGAGATTGCCACAGCGTTCTCGAACACTTGTGTGCGGGAAGAAAACATGAGTCGACTCAAACGAACATTTGACATGGAGTCCTTGTTAGTTGGCGGAACAAAATACTGTGTTCAGTGAGCAATTTTGATAATGGTCATGCTAGCGCATACAGTTTGCTGCCTCAGCAGGGTAAGTTAGTATATGAAACAAAAAGGGTTGTCCTTACAGCGCCAATATTTTCGCTAAAGCTTTCATGAAAGCACAAAAAAGCACATAAAATTCATACCTTGAGCGAAACTGTTGTGCCGCTTATTGCAACGAATGTTTCTGTTCCAGCAGCTATAGGTTCAAACTCGCAACGAATTTTTTTAGCCCGCTCCAAATCAACTCAAATATTAGTTTTCCCAACTAAAATTTTCACTGGAAAAACAAAGGTGCTATCTAATGCCTTTTAAAGGCGTTAGTGAAATAGTGCCTCTCGAAAGGTGCTACTGCCCCCCCCAAAGGTGCTATTTTTGGCACAAATTGTGCCTCTACAAAGGCACTAGTGCAGTAGCGCCCCTAAAAATTTATTAGCACCCTAAAAAGGGTGCTATGTAGCACCTTTGTTTTTCCAGTGAAAATTTTAGTTGGGAAAACTAATATTTGAGTTGATGTCTCAACGAATTATTTTTCTCCGTGAACGGCGCTTAGCCAATGGGACAAAAGTAATACCATTCCACCGGCGATGAGTCGATCATTGCCATTCCAAAGGCAGTATCCATTGCCATTTTTTGCAATGGTCATAAAAAATATCTAAGATACCCTTAAACTTATTGGCAATTCGACCCCTGCCACATTGTCGGCAATGGAATTCCATCGCCATATTTTGGCAATGGAGCCGTCATCGCCAGATTTCGGGCGATGAACTTTCAATGCCAATATTTTGCCGATGAATCTTCACTGCCGACAGTTCCGCAGTGTTCAGAAAGCTAACAACTAAGAAGAACTTTGAAAAATTGTTTCTGCTCGGTCACTGCCAAAATTGGCAATGAATACTGCCCTTCGACACTTGAAACCTATGCACACGGAGTTCGTGGCGGCTCCGTACAAACACGCAGTTCCCGGGGGCTCGGTAAAAAAAAAAGGAGCTCAGAAGTCAACCGTATAGCGTCGTAACTATGTTATTTGAAAATTTAGAGTTATGAAGTGCGTCGGATGGAGGAAACCAAGGGCTATCGATCAGCGAAAACCGCATTACGATCGACTGCATGTCTGTACGGAGCTGCCTGGAACTACGGGTTTATTCAGAGACTCCACGAACTCCGTCGTGTTTGTAAGTTTCAAGTGTCACCTTGAAGTGGTAAAGACCGACTCATACCACACTGTTAAAAGGTCAGAACTTCTCGAAGAATTCAGTGTGAAAAAATTTACCAGAACTCTCTTTGTATTCTTTTCTTGTCAAAAGTTCATTAACTTCAGAAAATTTTACGACTGGTTTAAAGGCATTTCTGAGATAAAAAAATGCACTTCTTCTGACTACAGACAAGTGTTGTGATTTCACAGCTGATTAGTATCGAGGAAGTGTTTAGAAACCAATAAAAAATAACACTGCAAGTAACAATAGTATTCTTGTTACATTATCATTGCACAGATATTTAATTGTTCGAAACGAAAACCTCCACCGGAAATCTGAGAGTGCGAGTGCGTTGATTGAAAATACCGGACTGAACCGTAGGGAACCGACGGTAGTTATTGAGAGTGGGTGAGACATCCTGCTCTTACTCACATCCTGCACTAAGCCCCATGTCTCTGGCACCAGGCCACTGTAAAAATTTATGTTGATTTACGAAATATTTGTTGTATATACTTTCATACTAGCAACACATATTACACTCGTAAGCAAAATTAAAGCACCAATTTTTTCACATGGCATACTTTAGAAGCGTAATGAGGTAGAAAGTTGCCGTTTGGTAGGGTACGGGTACGCTCATGTGTTGTCAACAGACCCCTAAAAGCGCAGACCTCCATCTCAAACGGTTCGCGACTTGTGGGGCTTAACACTTTCTATTGTGGTTATGAATCAAAGATTGCTTCGTGACGCTCTTTTCACTACTAAGATGTCGCGTCTGGCCTAAAACGTGTGGGAGTACTCTTCGTGGTACAGACAACCTGGTGCCGTGCCGAAAAACCCCCTTCGCCGACTTTCAACTCGTCGAGAAGAACACTTTAGACAAAAGTTTCGTCCGGTTGTGTTGACACTGGTAAAACAAAGGCGCTACACAACGCCTTTCCTGGGGCGCTAAAATCAAAGCCTCATTTTCACGCCTTTCCTGGGGTGCTAAACCTTAGCGCCTCAGGAAAGGCGCTAAATTATTGGTGGAGTTCAGAGGTTAGCGCCTTTGATAATTCTCGCTCCATATAATTT